ATTTCGGTACCGCCGTCATTTGGCACACACCCGCCTCGACACGACACTCTCGAGTGAGGCTTGAACGGGTGCTCGAGCGGGAGAGAGCTGTGCCGGCGCAGGAACTTCTCCCCCCCTCCCTTTCTCCCCCCCCCCCCCTTTCCCACCGGGGAAGCTCCGCGAGAGACCGAGCGTCGACGGTAAGGCAGGCGAGCCGATCCAGCGTCCCAGTGACCCATCCAGCGGGGTGGGTTCTCAGGGCTGGTTGGCATACGGACTTGCTTTTGCTCTGGCCCTCTCCACTGCCCATGCCGCTGTCATATCTCGCACGCGCGCGCGGATGGTGGTGACGGGGAACAGGGCGTTGGGACCAAGTTGCCTTTGCTCTCGATTGAGGGTGTGCTCGTGACAGAGCCACCGATTTCTGTCTGCTCATCCAGATTCCCATATCGGTCGGAGGACAGGAGCAGCGCGGGGAGGCGGAGACTTCTTGGCTTGGGATGTCAATTGAAACGAAAAATGGTGGTCATCAGGAAACACAGCGACTGTTCGGCTTGCGCGTGCTGGTCGACCTTGTCCACCTGCCTACCCGCTCGTTCCCTTGTCCTGGCTTGCCTGGTTGCCATCTTACCTTTCTGTCCTAGTGGCCCCAAGGCAAGGTACCAGCAAGCAAGTTGGCAAGCAAGCAAGCAAGCATGAGGCGGGATCCAGTGCGGACCGAGGAGCGCGGCGGGACGTTGAGGTCGCCGATCCCCGCCCCTGATTGCTGGAACCAGGTCCTTTTGGGTTTCCAGGATAATTAAGGTACTGTACGTAAGGGGGCTGATGTTGTAGCTTGATCTTAGGTGACAACGCGCCTTGAGGCTGGAGATGTGGCTAAATGCCGCAACGCCGTCATCGTACAAGCTTGCCCGAGAACGTGCGTACTGTAGCAAGCTACCTATCATGTACCTAGTTAGCTCACTATGAGATGCGGTTCACAGAGTGGTGATCCGGCAATGGGGAAGGGCGATTGTCCATCCTTCCCCCCCACGCGATACCCAAGCACGCGGGTTATGGTGTTTGACGTGATGGTCAGAAAATGGACGGTGGGAAGAAGGGAAGGGGGGAAGATCCTTCGGGCATCCTCCAATCTCAACAACGTCCGGGGCTTTCATTATCTCCCCTGCCATATGCTACTGTGCCGTTGCGCTGGGAAATCCCAATTCTCAGGTGTCACAACATGAAGCGGGTGAGCATACATTTGGGACGGACAAGCCTTCCATCCATTCCAATCGCATGCCTTGCCCCCCTCCCCCCCCCCCCCCCCCCACCCCCTGGGTGAATTAATATATATGGGTGAGAAGGTCAAAAATTTTAATATGGGGGGGCTCATTTAAAAAACTTTAATAAGTCCCAATTACAACAAAAACATTTTGTATAAACTTTTTATGGGGCGGGGGTATTGTTAAACCGCCCCCCCAAAAAATTTAAAGGACAGGGGGTTGTTTACTTTCCGAGTAAGTTT